ACGGTAAAGGTACTTCCATTTTAGAAATTAGAGCACTGTTTTTTTAAAGTAAAAGGCGAGGGCTATAAGTATGTTTTTGAATACAATAGAAAGCTTAATTCTATAAAAATTAGATATTAGTAACTCAAAAACAATACATAGTCATACAATATCATAACATATTCAGTGAAATGAGTGGATAATGATTATTTCTACAAAATATAAGTATGCAAAATTAAAAAAAATATATTATCGTCATGTAATTTTTACAGGGTTTCCATATTACTATTAATACTTAATTTACATCATTTTCCTGGTAAAGGTAGAACTTTACAACTTGTACGTCTGTATTTAACAGAAACATTGTTACGTTTAGAAGTTCAATTACTTTACACTTCAAGGTTTTCTTTTACGGACTGGATTTGAGGAACACAATACGTCTTCCGGCAATTGCTTTTCTGTCCTATTATTTATTCTAACTTCTCCTTCGTGAGGTTGAAACGCAATTCAAGAAACTTGTACTAACTGATAGAAAAAGAATGGAATTTATCTCTTCGATCCTTATATTTTATGTTTTTTTTTATCTTATATAAAACGCAGATGTTTAATCCTATATTTAGATTGATGTAACTAAAAACTCGACTGAATGTGAATTTAAAAAAAGAACTGGAAATGTTCCTCAGAATAGTTTGCTTTCCTAATTCATGTCTATGGTAATTGCCTTACAAAAGTATTATCAGTCTTGTCATCCGAAACGGATTAGTAACTACGGTAGACTAGTGATTATGGTCACGAACTCGTGTCGGGCTTGTTGTGAGTTCGAGTTCTGGTGCCACTGAAGATCCGGCAAGTAGAGGAAGCCGATGCACGTTAAATCTGTCAAGGCTTAATGTTCTTCTGTTGTGTGGTAGTTAGGAGAAGGGGTACCAGATCAGGTATGGACCTCCTATTGGAGGTCCGTCTCCAATAGGTAGCGAGATGTGATGAGACCGAGATGGTGGCATCATCTTGATGGCTCTCGCTACCAAATTTGGACGCTTGAATTAATTTTATTCAAGCTCTCGTCGAATGCTAAATATTACAGTGATTTGATTTTGCCAGGAGTATCTAAGCCAAATTGATACTCAACGGATCTTTTGCATGCCACATAATCAGATGACCTGTGAAAATCTATCAACTCCATCTGGGATCGACCCACTACCCCTCAGCCACCGAGCAAACTA